GCCCGGAGCAGACGCCGCAGAGACCGCGTGGAGTGTGGTCGAAGCTGGCCTCGTGGTCCACAGGTGAGCGCTCTGGCCAAGCGCGCACCGAGCTGACTCTGTGTCCGGCTGGTCGACTGTTCGCCTGCAGCCCGGGCGGCCGGTCCCCTCCTATCGTTTTCTCTTTGGCGCCACGCGGACCTCGTCTTGATCTCGTCGTTTACTCGTCATAAAACGGAACAAATTATGACGAGATTGGGACCACGCAGCGACCAGATAGCGACGAGATCCTGTCGGCGAATCTCGAATCGTTTGTCGTCCGAATCTCTTCTTGACCTCGACTAGATTTCGTCATAATGCGGTCCCGATTCCGTCTCGATCTCGTCTCAGCATTATGACGAATAAAAGGCCACATTCTGACCGTTTTCAGCCGGGCCCTTTCATACGGGCGGGTGGATAAAGTCACATCTTAGCACAGTAAGACAGTGATAATTAGAGGAACCATAGACATTCATCGTTCCAAAGCTTCATCTGGATTGTTGTCCAGCCCCCCCCCCTTGATTCCTTTCGACGCTTTTCGGGGTGCTTTATTATTGCTTATCATGAATCTTGGTCAGATTTGCCTCTACTCGGGCCAGGAGCCATCTAAAGGGGGCAAAACTGAACTCTGATGCTTTCCACACTTCCACTTTGGTCTAGGTTTGCAAGGTGCATCCACACATTGAGCTGATTTTCTAAGTTGTATGGCCACAGAGCTACAGGGCATCGAAGTTGTTCCACGAGATTAGAGGTTGAAGCTTCGTAAAGTTTGGCGTTGAAGAAGTATGTACAGGTATCAACTCTGTCCAATTGAGAAAAGGGCGCGAAGACTGATCACGTTTCAAAAAGGCGGCTACAAAAAGCCTTTTTTGGTGCGTGACTTTTTCAAAATAAACTCCGTTCCCGCTGCTTTTTTTATACCTTGACAGAGAATCGGAAATCCCGAAGATGCATTTTAAAATAGGTATACTATTAATCGATACCTCAGAGCGAAAACCACTCAGTCTACCGAAGCGCTATGACAACCGCTTAGTCTGCCGAGCGGTTTGGACAACTGCTCATTCCGCGGAGCCGCTCCGACAACCGCTCAGTCAGTCGACCCACCTCAACAACCGCTCAAATGACTTTTTTGAAGAAAAAAATAGGATTGCACCATTAACAAGAAAATGGTCCAATGAGTCGGAATCGGTCAAAACATGAAAAATGACACAAAAGTCATTTGAGCGGTTCTTGAGGTGGGTCCGCTGACTGAGCGGTTGTCGAAGCGCCTTCACGGAATGAGCGGTTGTCTAAACCGCTCGGCACACTAAGCGGTTGTCGTAGCGCTCCGGCAGACTGAGCGGTTTTCGCTCTGAGGTATCGTAATATGTTCTCTGTTGTCGAATTAAGTAGTTGAGCGAGTTTTAAAAGTTTTAAAAGAAGAAACTCCGATCTGCCTTCCATTTTGCAAGAATTGTCCTAACCTGGATCCGTGATCACGGCGTCGTTGAACTTTAAAAATGTAACTTGGGAGTGCCAATTGACAACATCCGACCACCAGAACCCATCTCGAGGACGAAACATGCGACGTGTGCCTGCAGAAGTGGCGTATCTGTGAAGAGGCGCGCAACACTGGCGGATCTGCGCTGGCCCGGCCAACACTGGCGGATCTGGGAAGGGACGGTCATCACGGGCGTATCTGCATTTCGGCTGATCTGCTCAGTCAACTTCGGAGGCCTATTGCTCATCGTAGGTATGTCGTACAGTATTGACTGATGTCTCATTGCAATGTTTATATCCTCGTGATTCAGTTTTGATATCACTCAATACTATACGACATATTTACAATTAGCAATACGCCTCCAAAGTTGACCGAGCAGATCAACCGAAAAGCAGATACGCCCGTGTTGGCCCGGCCGGTGCAGATCCGCCAGTGTTGGCCGGGCCGGCGCAGATCCGCCAGTGTTGCACGCCCCTTCACAGATACGCCACTTCTGCAGGCATACGTCGCATAGAACTATGGAAACAATAAGAATGGGTATTTTGGACTGGTTATTACATGAAAATGCACGTTTTTTTATATTCACCCAGGGCTCTGTTTGTTACGATCCCCTTCAGACCCTTCAGACAAGCCCTCACAGCCGAGCGTGGTAAGGTGCCACCCAGGAGTTCAGAGGTCGACTGCGCTCGATTCAAGTACACGATGTGATCAAAAAAGTTGTTCCCGAAATGCACTCAGCTCAAGTACACATATTGAGTAAATAAAGTTGAATACATTTCTGCACTTGAATCGAGAACAGTTTTTTCTGGGTGTGGGTCAGTCCCGAGCTGCGCCCTGCACTCTCCTGTTGGGCTGCCTCACGGTGGCGTGGTGTGCCCGCCCGCCTGTGCTGGCGGCCTGAGAATCCCGACGCGACACACGCGTGTGTCGCGTCGGGTGCGCGGCAACGTTCCTGGCCAGGTTTTCTTGCGTGAACAGTTTTTCCCACTGGGTTTTGGTTCACGAGTCAGCAAGTTTTCCCTGCGCCCTTGCACCGAATGGTGGGAGCCTCATGCTCCGTGGAAATGCTCTGCTTCTGAGGGTGTGTGCCCGTTGCACCGCATTTGCCATAATGCCGATTGAACGTCAGATTGAGCGGTCTGTTTCCGCCTCGCCTTGCCGAAATTCGACTGCGAATTTAGTACAGCTGTTAATTTGGTCCTCCGGTTCAGCTGATCAGGACGCCTCTCCTGTCCAGCCCCGACCAGCCTTCGTCTCGACGCCTCAGCTGGAGAAGTACCGGCGTTAGTCGCCAGTTTTCTCAACCTTAACACAGCGGTGGTGCGTTCCCCGCTCGTGTCCATCCTGGTGCCCCAGTAAAACTCACTACTCGCGGCTTAATGCGGTTTGTCCGCTTTCGCCACCGGGGACTTCCCTTTTCAAAACGAAGGGAGGGGAAGTGTTGTGAGGTGCGTTCACAACACGCCGCTACCACTCCCCGATATTTGAATCTCGCTGCGTTTGGCGCGCGAGATAGGCACCTCGACTGGCGGCCGCTCCCGGCCGCCACGACTCCATGCGCCGAGGTCTAGCAGGCCGTGCCTGCCTGACCGACCGGTCCCTGACGAGCCGCGCCCGCGGCTGGCTCCCGCCCGGAGGGGAGCTCCTCAGCCAGCGAACCCTCGACTCGTCCAGGACGAGTCGTCCTCACTTCTACGCCAGCCTTGGTTGGGTCAAGACCTCCGAGTCCGAGTCCTACCTTACCGTACGGCTCCGCGCACCGTACTCTACCGAGTCCTGAGTCTTACTTATAACTTAGCTTGAATAAAGAGAATTGCCTATTAGCAGAAACCTGAGCTCTCCTTTCTTCACCGCCTCCTGCCCTTAGATAATACCGCACGACACGACAATATATAATACCAATGTGCTCCACTCTCCCCTACTTCAACAAGCAGGCCCGCCCTTCCGCCAAACGAAGTTGCCAGCTTCGCTTCGCTGCGCCGGCAACTCCGTTCGGCAGGGGCCGGGCCTGCTTGGCCTGCCGGCGGCGATGGTCGGGCCTGCGGCCCGACCA